TATTTAAATATATTATTACCTCCGGTGTGGCATTACACACATCTTCCTGTCTCTCATTCCCTTTTCCTCCAAATCGCTCAATCCAAACTCACGGTTAAACAGCTGCCGTCGGAAATGAGTGTGGCTGGGGCCTTCAATGCTCTCAAATCCTCCACTCTCATCTCATGGAAATCGGTACTCGTTTTTCCTCTTCCTTCCTTTCTTTCCCTATATTTGTACGGTACATGTGTAATTTTCTTGTATATACAGACCGGTAAGCTTCAACAAACCCTAGCGGCCTGCGTGGAGCGGACTGGAAGCACTTTACACTCTGGAACCACCTGCACCGTCAAGTTATGGCCGGAATTCGCTGGTCGCGGGAGGTACTTTGATCTTCGGTCCAAATTCATTCCTGCGTCAATTCATTGTGTTCAGGAGTCACCTTTATGTACCACGCTGGCTAAAGACGGATGCAAAATTCGAACTGTCGAGCATTTGCTTTCAGCTTTAGAGGCCATGGGCGTTGACAATTGCAGGATCCAGATCGACTCTGCCCATCATGATGTTGAGGTTGGTGCCTGCCTTTGCTAAAAGCTGTCAAACTTGAATTGCATTGCCGTTGCTATTGCCATGCAACATAAATAGAATGAGGGGCATAATTTTTTAAACTTGTAAATTCAGCCATGGTCTGGCTGTGGAGTCTTCTCCATGAATGTGCATTAAAAAAGTTAGAATGGATCCAGCTAGGTGAGGTCAACCTGGAATGAATATGTAGGGAGAAGTCATTACTGAAATTTATAATGCGGTCATACACATATATGGTGACAATTTTTTTATTATTAGGTGTCATAATTTTGTGATAAAGACCAAGGCTTTAATTTTGCTCAAAGTGACATTACAAGTTAATTGATGCTGCAATAACTGACACAGGTTCCTATTTTTGATGGTTCAGCAAGTGCATGGGTGGAGGCAATAGAACAAGTTGGCTTAGAGGTGGCTGTTGATCACTGTGGCAATAATGCTGAAAAAATGGCACCGTCTTTGAAAGAACCAGTTTATGTGCAGAGGAAGGATTCTTTTATGGTCGCTTTCCCTTGTGAAAGGGTTTGTATAACTTATGGCATTGACTTCCCACAGGTAATCATTTCATCTTGTGGTATTTATGGTTGACAGATTAGAATACTAAACTGAGAAGCTCGTTCAAGTTTCTTATTTTTCTTATTTGATTCCAGAAAAAAAAAGAAAAAAAAAAAAGCTCATCTTTATTGTCATATATTGTGAATTTGTTATCCTTATTTTGTCCAATTTTTCTCTATATTTTCTGACCTTTCTCATAATTAATTATCATTCCTTTTCTTCTGCTTTGCTCCGTATTTTGATGAGTAGAATAAACCACTGCATTGTAATGAGCCAAATTTTATTCTTTGAATTGTACAGTAATTATCAGATTATTATTGTACTTGAATCTGTCATGAATGAGACTGATCTAATCTTTAGTCACTTAGGTAGTCTTTTGATTTTTATCGTTTGTGAGAAGGGTTCTAGTGTACATAGATATTTAACAAGAAAAGAGGTTATTAAAGGTAAATTTTCTTGTGTTTAACACCCTTGTTTAAGGGATGAACTATTGTCATTATGAATTGGTGAATTGTTTTGGTATATTAAACCCAGTGAGTAAGCCATACTTCACCATTTCAACTTGAACCTTGAACAAAGTTGGGTGTATTTATATCCTTCTCTTGTTGGATTATTGACATTGGTTACAGTTGTAGTTATTACAATGTACACAAGTTATGTTTTCTGGTATTGTGATCCAACTATGATATCAAGATATAGCATACAGTAAGGTCCTCCCTGAAGTGCAGGAGCCAAAGAGAGTTAGGCCTAGTTTTTACAATAAAAAACTATAGCAGGAATCTAGGATATAGAGAGAAACAAAGGTGAAAGGCTTGTCAGAAAGAAATGTTGGTCGAAGGGCTCAAGTGCAAGATCTTGGCTTCTGATGTCATGTTATAATTTATATTTAGCATTTATCTCTCCAAAGTTGAACTGTTAGGTAATGGGTCTGACTTTGTATGTCATGCACTAAAATCCCCACTCACATGAAGCCCGTAGGCCTGCACAGTTATGCTAGTTCATGCAACAAAAAACAATGCCTGACTTAGCAAAAATGTCAACTAAGCAAATCATTCAACTTTGTATATCATGCTGTAGCATGCTTTAAGCTCTATAAGTCTTCTCTAACAATTATGAAATTTTTTTATCAATAACTCTTTAACTCATAGCTAAATATAAGACAAGCACAGCAATAAACAATAACGCACTAGAGATTGTAGCTAGTTGGTAAAGTGCATCTTCTTCTGTCCCAAAGAGATGGATTCAATTTCCCAACATCCAATATCAACAAAAAGAAAAAATTAAACCAAAACATTTTATTGATGATTCATATACAATAGTTTGGCAGATTAGGAGATTAGTAGAAAGAAAACTGGAAAAAGAATCTATTTTACTTTACTTTCATTTCTGGCTATCCCTTCCATTTGAACACAAGATATTTTTTTCAACTCTTCAGCTTTTCTCTCAACTCCAACTTTTTCACCATTCACCTTTTCTCTTTTGAGTTTTCTTTTTGTTTTTAGTTTGTTCTGAGGTTTTCTTGTGTCTTTTTACTTGATTCTCCTCAAACTCAAACAAGGGAGGCTGTATTTGTTAGGAATCTTGATCTCTTTGAAAGATTAGTGTTGGGATATCTCTCTGTTCCAGCATTATCATGGACTGGACCCATTTGTGGCACTCCTAAACTTAAAATCCTCTTCAGAAAGGAATTAATTGGCAACATGACTTTTCTCTTGACAATTCTCTTACCTTTCCATAAATTTCTAAATTGTCAATTGAATGTTTTCAGCTGATTAGTTTAATAGCTTTATATATATATATATATATATTTAAAATTATAAATCCAAACCAGGTTGTTGATGCTCCTGACCTATGAAGACTTAATTCATTTGTTTAATGTCAAATCTAGATATCTGTGTAACGGCCATTTAGTGATCTTCAAAAACTTTTCCTTTTTCTGGTACCAGGTGCCTGCAATTGGTTGCCAGTGGTTTTCTGCAGCCTTTTTGGAACACTCATTTTATGCAAAGCAAATTGCTTGTTCAAGAGCTTTCTGCATATTTGAGGAGGTTAGTTCCAACTTTACTGCAGCCTATTCTCATTTTCAATTTGTTGTTGTTTAATATGTTTTGTCTGTGAATCAACATACAAAATTACAAATAGCCTTAATATTCATATTCTAGGGAGAAAAATATTATTCCTAGGGGAGGGCATCGGTACAGTACCGGACCAAACTGGACCGGTTCATTACTGTACCAGTTTTATTCGGTACTCAAAGGGGGTACCGAGTACTGAACTGAAAAAATTAATCCAGGACAAGATTTGGAATCAGTACTCGGTACTTTTAAAGTGAAAACCGAGTACTGACCGATTGGTACCCATTAATTTTGATTCCGACCAAAGCGAGCACCAGTTATTCAGTATTGTTAACTTTTGCAGCTGCACCCAAAAAAAAAAAAAAAATTCAACATGCAGTTTCTGGTTTAATATCAATGACAAATAATTTACTTTGAAATTAAAAACAGGAGGAAAAAGCATGTGGTTTTGATACCTAAGAAGGCAATTTTTCACATGCAATCTCTGCATCTTCAAAAATGCTTTGGCAGTAGATCTTTCAGGGAAATAATTTTAGGAATCAAAGGAGATTGAAGATTTGAGGGGAAAAGGAGGAAGAGTTGAAATCTAAGGGAAAAAGAAGAAGAATTCTAGTGAAAGAGGGGGCTTACCAATGGAAATACTTCAGAAATTGGAGGGGCTTGCCGCTTTGTGAGTGGAAGACCAAAGAGCAAAGACTTCCTGTCAATCTTCCTTTTCGTTGATGGGGTGGAGGTGGAGTCTAAGAGATGAGAGGAGAAGCAGTCGAGCAAAATTAGAAAAAGTAGAAGAATAAGAATTGGGGATTTAGTTTTCATTATTATCATATACCTTTCTTATTTTTAATTAATAAAATAATTTTTAATTTATTAATAAATATATATTTAAATAAAATTATATGGTATTTGGTATGGTATTCGGTTTTTGGTATTTTCAAGTCACAAACCGAATACCGACCAAATAATTTAAATGGTACAGCCCTTGTACCAGATTTTCATTCCTGTTGGTACATTCCCAGTACTGAGTCCCAAATAATCAGTACGTCCCGATGAGATGGGTCCGGAATACCGACTTTTGCCCACCCCTAATTATTCCTATCTTACATATATCTTACATTTATTCTAAAAGTTCTGCCAGTTGACATGATATCTGAGCTGCCATACGGGTGGGAATTTTGGTAGTTTCTAACGGCTGCTAAGTTAATTTGATAAAAAACAATGATAGAGATGTATAATCAACTCGATTATTGTTTTCATAATTCCTTTTTTCTCTCTTTTGGTTTGTTTTCATTGGAAGTACGGCATGTAAAATTTATCCTGTTTCAAACTTTTTTCTAAATCAAGTGAGATGAAGATATTGGGTGGAATATATTAGAAAGATTAGAAGAGAAAAGGTAATTTTCCCTTTCAACTCTTTCTCTTTCTTATCTGGCTGGACTTCATTATCTTGGCATGCCATTTTTTCTGCTTGGCTATCATTGCATCTATGAACTTTATTTGTCTAATGGATCATATAATTATGAAAACAGTTAGCTTTTTTGCAAGTAATGCCTATGCCAGAGAATTTTGTTTAGCTCCACTTAACTGCGCCCTAGTATTTCAAAAAAGAGAAGAAATTGTGAAGGAGTGTAGATTGATCATGCATGCAATTACATGTTGCTGATTAAACTTAATTCAGAGAAACAATTTTTAGTATGTAAATCTGAAAGAGAGAAGAGTGGAATCTCACATGACTTCAGGGGATCCTTGTGGCTTACTGGTTTAGTATGGAATATTGACATTAGCACAAAATTAAACATGTGTAGAATCAGTTCAGAGAGTTTGTACAGAATATATAATTAAAAAAGTAATGCTACATTACTATTAATGGTTGAGAAAAATATTACATCTGTAACATGCTGCTACTTGATTAAAATAAAAGAAAATTATAAAATTTTCCAAGAGGCTATGTGTTGCTGTATATATCAAGTTGGTAAATCTGGCTGCTATGTGTTGCTGTATGCATCAAGGTGGTAAATCTGGCCACCATGTGTTGCTGTCTAAGAAGCACAGACACAGACATGCAACATGGACATGTGGAAACATTATTTTCTAAACATTTAGGATACAAGAAGTTAAGGACAGGCAAAATTAAAGAATATATTTTTTAAATATATAAATAACAATTCTCGTACAACATCAAATCTAACATCTAAATATATTAGGAACCACTAATTTAATACTTCAAATGTTAAACACTAATTTTTATTAAGAAAATATATATATACACAATTAAGAAGTATGACATCTAGAGAAAATTGGGATTGAAATCATAAGCCCAAAAAATATGTTTTAGGAGTTTCTGAAATGTCTAATTTTGTTTAAAAGTTTCCAACTTCTTGTCCCTTTCCTTTTGATTCTTCTCATCTTTAAGTTGTTAGAACCCAATGGTTATTAATTTCTGTTAGAAACATGAGTCCAGTGGGCAAAGATGGAGGAAAGAGAAAAAAGGGGAAGAGAATGGGTGAAGGGAAAAACATGTCCCTCTTTCTTTCTCTTCTTCCTTTTTTGACCTTTTTTAATTTAATTGACTTAGGTGTGATCAATGTGTCCTCAACATGTACTAACATCTCCAAAATTAAAAATTAAAAATTAAAAATAGATACTCTAAAAGTGCATATTCAACATGTGCTGGACAAGGACATTCTCAGCAAAAGAGTGTCCATGATTCATAGGTTGCAGTATCTATCAAGGTAGTAAATCTGCCAACTAAGTTCTTTGCAAGTCTCATCATAATATAGTCAAAGCAATCTAGTATTCCATCTATGTTGTTAATGTGAAACTGTTATGTGATAATTCTTTCAGGTTGAACGGATGCGTAATGCAGGATTGATTAAAGGGGGCTCACTAGACAATGCCATTGTTTGCAGGTAAGATGCTTCATTATGTTTATTATTACAAGTTTTCTAGTGCTGGTGAATCATCTAAGTTCACTAGGTTAGGGCTAGCTTGCTAATATTTTGGATGACAACCAAGATCTAGTAGAAAGAATAGCTTTTCTAATGTTATCTAAAGTGAAGTTCACCATCTTTTTAAAAAATTTGGTAAATTTGAGGCTAAGCCCATTAACTTGAAACACAGATGTTGTAGAAAGAATAGCTTGCTGATTAGTGCCTAGGCACTTGCTTTTTTGCAACTCTGGATTGGAGGTGGATATGGTGGCAGGTTTTAGTGGTAAGAGGAGGATGAAGATAAGGGGAGGATCTTTTTTCTTTTCTAATTAAGGTTGATTGGTTTGTAAGTAAGGATTCAGTGTTGGAAATTCTTCCTGTTATTTACTTATGGATTTATTTTTAAGCCATGTCAGCTACCAACTTGGCCATTTTTTGCCATGTTGTTCTTTAGTCCCAAACAGCAATTGAGGGGCCCTATTGCAATTATTCTTAATTCTTATTATTGTAGTCGTTTAGTTGAGTTAAACAAAAATGAAGGGAAATAATATATTTAAGATTTTTGGTGTTTTTGTTATTATTTTCAAATTCGGCCTAAGAAAACCTTGAAGAAGTTGTTAAGACTTGTTGAAGATTCAAATTTTCTGGACATGACTTGTTTTGGATTATCAAATTAGCTGGTTTTGCCTCTGCATTTATTTGATACTTAATCATGATTAATCTTCTACAGTTCCAATGAAGGCTGGTTGAACCCTCCACTTCGTTTCCATGATGAACCTTGTCGCCATAAAGCCCTGGATCTTATAGGTGACCTTTCCCTTTTTGCCCAGTCTGGTAGTCAGGGGCTTCCTGTGGCACACATACTCTGTTTCAAGGTATGTCTATTTTCTAGTTCAATTTTACATTGGTGTTAGCAGGTTTTCCGGAGTACTTTGCTGGAGTATTATTTTCTTTGGACTTTCTGTGAAAATAGTTTTAAGAACTATAGTGTTTGAATATTTTGAACAAATTCTTTATTTCATTATCATTGTAAAACACCGGCAAGAGCTTGTCTAGTTGATATAATCCAACTTAAGACCTTGATATGGTTTGGTGTTTAAAGCCTTGCAGTGCCAAGCACCTAACTCACGATGTACAGGAAAAGCTATCATTGTAAAACATTTGTTTGATATGGAAGAATAATTACTCATTCTCAATTCAAATCCTTAATTTACGTAGTTTTGGGGTTTTGAATTGGATACAGGGTGGCCACGCACTGCATGCTGATTTTGTCCGCCTCATATCCGGAGGGAGCAAAGATTGCAATGTACTTTAGAGCTTTAGTGGTTGAGAATGAAAGGTATGCATACCATGACGGAAATGTCTGCTTCTAATGTAACACTGCCAGTTTTACAATATTTGAGCAGGTCAGATTTTGGGGTCATTGATAAAGGCATTTCAAAAACCCTTAGGATCCAAGATTTGTAAAATGGAATGAAAATCTTGGAGGATTGTTTGATATCCTGACTTATGAAATCTGATTTTTCAGTCTTACGATTTCTATTTGAGTGTTGCAAGAACACTCCAAAAATTGGTGATTGGAAGCTTGTGCGAGCCATGTTTGGAACATATATGCTCAACCATTTCAATTTTAAGGAATGAAGTATGAGCCCTACAGGCCAGCTAATGCAACCTTTTCTCAATCTGTTCTCTCCAGTTCTGGGGTGGATAGCCCAGGCAACAAACAGAAATCAATATCCTGCAGTTTGCACGCTCCATATAATCTTGCCGTTTTCGATTTTTCTCTTTTGGTTTGTAACAAAAACTGCAGAACTCAAGAAAGGCCTTGTGGTATTTTCCATGGTATATAATCCTGCAGTTTTGGATATATAAAACCAGATTTGTCCCATGTACTTCTAGCTAAAGTCAGATTTGGATGAAACTATGAAACCTGGAATCTCCTCGGGTCTAAGGTGAATCAATCAACTATTTTAATGCTCGGAGATGGATCCATTACAACCAACAAGAATTTCACAACTCCAAAAGGTCTATAAAATGAAAATTGAAACCAAGAATTTGGTGTCGCTTCATTTTTTCTTCCTTACTTTCTTCTATACATAACAAACATACAAAGTATTCAGGACAGAATCAGGCTATATGTGCCTCTTGACCTCCTCATACCTGTTCATTTCCCTTGACAATATTGTACTTGCAGAGAGGACACGTTGCATTCATCTTAAGCCATTTCACAATGCATGTTGCATGGAAATGATGGTTGCAAGGGAGGGTATGGAGTTCTACACCATCCTCGTATGAGGTGAGACATATACAGCATTCCTGTACGAGAATGGGGAACGATTGTCAGCAATTCTTCACAGAAGACAGGTCCTTAGAAATAAGCATCATAAGCCAATAACTTACCGCATCCTCATGTAAAAGCATGTGTTCATTTGCCAAGTATCCACTGCTCGTTTCAGTGGGGACCATTTTGCCTGCTCCTACAGTAGGCTTTTCATTATTGGTTAATGTTTCAAATCTATATCTTGGAAGCATACTAAGATCTGCTTCTGATGCACCTTCCTAACCAGTATCAGAAGAAAGATAAACATTAGTACACTGTAACAAGTCCCCCATTTTTTAAGATTAGAGAATCAGCCACAGACTCAAAGCTGTCACAATAAAATGCAGATATTAGTATCAATGAACATTTCTCATACCTGTCCTGCAACAGCATAAAGAATAGCGATAATGCATGGCAAGCAGCAACAGAGAGCAATTCCAATCAAACATGCCAAAACAACACAAAATATTGCAAAGAACACGTCAAACGCCAGAAAAACAACAGCCAACCTGCAGAAGTCATGAATCAGCAATTTGTGAATTCTTTTGCGCATACCATAGATCCATGCCACAGACAATAAAAAGGAAGAAAATTTACAAATACATTTCTTAATATTTACATATGAAATGAATAATGGGTCCAAGGAAGTGTCTATGCTTTAAAAAGATGTTTCTCTCTTTTACTTTAGGTTTTTACTAAACCCAAAAATTAATTTTACTGTTGAATAATTGAGCATGAAGCCATTAAAAGAAATATATTATCAAATGAAACTTTGGTTTGATTTCATGTGATGTATATGAGTATATAGCTTAGACAAATTCATTAATTATGATGAGATAAGAAGTATATACGTCATAACAACATAAAATGGAGAGCTCTAAAAGATTTCTCCCTGCCATCAATCTGAAGATAGAAAAATATATGGAATGCATGACTATTAACATTAAAATGATATATTTAGGGCTGTTAAATAACAAGTTTTTTAAAAGCATACCAGTACAACCGTGGAGCCAGGTGCATTAGCGCATCACCACCAGAGACTACCCAATAGAAACCCACTATCCACCAAAGAAATGATGCCATTGTATTCACGGATTCACATCGCTTGGTGAAGCTAGCCATCCAGAATCAAAATGGGAAGATGTCAATAATTTATCAAACCTCCACTGACATTACTATAGTATTAAATAGAAGAAAATGTAGTTGCAAAATAGAAGTTACAAGAAAATGGTATAAATTTATTAAATGACATAAGAGAAGATGTTCCTCCCTACTGAATTACATCAAGAAGGATATAATACTTGCTTCAGCAACAACAGGTCCAGATAATGAATTTTGATCTCTGGGTGCTTCAATCAAAAGGCTGGAGGAATCTGAAATATCTATCTGTTTTCATTTTGCCCACCTTACATGTTCGTGATTTGTATTTTTGAGAAAGTTGCTGCGATGCAGCCTAGCATAACAAGATAGTGGAGTACCACTCGCGCACCATTTACATCAATAAATATTTTTCTTTTGCCAAATTTGTTTACATACCAAATTATACAATTTCAGTCTTTAAATCATATGTCAACTTTTCTCCTTATACCAACAAAATCAAGCTTAAATTCTCATTCTCATCATTATGAACTACAATTACAGTATCAACTCATTAATTGTTATATCTCATAAAAAGGCCTAAGGATAAGTCTGAAGCTCAGTGCTTGTTCTCTACAGAATTTGATTCTAACCAAGAGAGTAAATGGTCAAATCAAATCATCCTTCCTCAATAACTTTGGTTTGGTTCAAGGCTAGATGTCATTGGTTTTCATCTTTATTTCTCAGTCAATTCCACCTACCATTTTCAAAAGAAAGTAAGATGTAAAATTAATGGAAAAGAATGCGTAAACATGACACCAGTCCCTCTCGTGTGGCGACCCTAGTTCCTCTAAAATTCTCTTTGGGTGAGAGTTAGGTATTGCCTTTGTGCAATCTTCTTTTGGTTACATTGTGCATGTGGCTTCTTGCTGCTTACGTCTTCATTGGTTGAAAGGGTGGGCGGTTTCCCGCAGGTGGACTGCATGGTTTTGCTGGCTGTTTGGCACAAGCTGACATCATTGAAAGGTGATCTTGTGGCTGTTAAGTATATCACTAGTATCTAGGCCAACAGTGTGGCCGCAGGTGATGGTTGTCATGTTTCTGACCTTGGTTGGGCATTGAGGAAGGCAGTGCTTGGGTTTTGAGGACTGTGGCTCAGCTTTGGGGCTGAGAATAGTCCCTCAAGAGTAGGAAACTGATGAGGGAAAAGAAGTGGATATGGAAGAATTATTTGAATTCTTTAGATTATCTAGGATTCATAAGTAATTATTTTTATTCAAGTATACATATCATTAGTTTACCTACTTTCATTAGGTCTTTTATTAAGAGTCTTAGAAATCTTTTACTATTTAGTTTATCAAGAGTCTAAGTCCTAGTTGAATTAGAAATTTTAAATTTAAATTATTAGTTCTAATTAGAATAGGAGTTCTAGTAGGAGTCTTAGCAGTTTTTATATAAATATGCATCTAGCTTCTTCTTTCATTATTAAGTAATAGAATATTTAGAAATTTGCAGTAAGAGCTTTCTCTTGAGATTGTGTGATGCAATCTTGGTTGTGTGATCCAACTAGCCTTAGGTATGATGCTTAAGGGTTTTATGTCTAAAGAAACCTAGGTGCGACTCCTGGGGTTTTTCTATCTTTCTTGTTATTTTCTATTTTTCCCTCTTCTAAGCTCTATTCTTAATCTCTTTTAATATTCACGCACAGTGTTCACAGTATATACTTTCCCTAAACAGCTACTAAATCCCTAAGCCTACCATATCCCCTAACCTGTCCCGCATTAGAAAAACCTCTCAAATTTTTGATCCAGAGATTCCAGTGTCTGGGCCCCTTGTTCAATAGCCTCATCAAAAGCTTGGTTGGATCTCAGGGCTTTTAAATAACTGAACTTCCCCAATTTAATTTCTATACTGAGACTGGAAGGTCATCTGAAGCTTTACTGTTAATACATAATGGGTTTATACTGAATTATATTGAGATTGCCCTAAATTGCACTCTTCTTCTTTTGCATCCACTAGCTAGTAGGAAGAATTTGGTTGAATATGGAGATCTTAACTCAACAAGAAAACACATTTTAATTGTTGTTGGAGATTTTTCCTTTTATGATTGAGACAATATGGCTGTAATGAATCTGAATGAGTGTCTTCCTGTGGATGTCCCTTGAAATGCTGTTGAAATACTTGATTTTTGTCAAAGCCCAACAGTGAAAAAGCTGAAATCCAGTCAGATGATGAGGGAACATGTACCAACTTTGCTTAATCAAACCAAAGTCAGGATCTTAGGAAGGCACAGAAGGAAAATCTCCAGATCAAGCAGGGATGTCAGCAACAGGGATAATGTTAGATGAGAGTTGATTAGCAAATAATCCCATCAACTCCATGGATGTATTTGGTCATAATCAGACTATTTATGCAGGGGGCTATGGTTGCCCTACAACCACAATGGTGCCATGAGGACCATTGGACAATAATGCCAAGGCTTAGGGTCTCCCTTGGTAGATTATGCTTCCTTAAGAGTTAAGACATCATATTTTAAACCCCTCTATCTTTATCTTAGTTCATTTCTTTGCAGGCAAAAAACACTTTTGATTTTATGTTGTGTTCAGACCGATGATGGCAAGGGTATGGTGCATGAGTGCTCTGATATTTGGTAGTATAGTGACATTGGCTAGTCTAGACATGGTATGACTAGTGGATGGCAGAAATAAATGGCTTTAAGGAAGCAAGATATTGAATGAGTTGGCCAGTTTGAATGTCCACACACTTCCAAACACAGAAGCATCGATTCTAGAACCTCCTTTTGTCTCTGCACAAAATGGTTTGTTATCTGCTTCATTTCCAGGAGCAGTTGTTTCAACAGGGCAGTGGTGTTCATTATTGCAAATACTCAGCTGTAATTTCCTGAATCCACTACACATTGAGGGCTATTGGCTTAAGGAACAAATTCAAAGCTTATACAAAGCTGAGAAAGATTCAAGAGGATGTGTCTCCTGAGTCAAGTTGGAGCTTCCTCATCCTCTAGTATTTTGCTTCCTTTGGAGGTGCTGCTATCAGTTTGGCCTTCAACTATGTGTATTCTTCTTATGGTTTTGGTTATAAGGTTAGTGTAATACAAGTCATTCTCCCAAAATTTTTTTTTTTGGACTTGCCTAGAACTCACTTTATAACTAATATTTTCAAAAAAACAACCATTGGATTAAATATTCTATTCATGTAAATCATACATGCCAATCTTCAAATTGATTTAACATTTATAACCTGTTAGTAAAAGAAATTTTATCTACTAATATTTAATGGTGTTAAAACTAGTTAAGCCTACATCAATATGAAAATTGACAAAGATAATCTATGTGAAAAGAACTTTCAATCTAATAGTTGGTTTTTAAAAATATTAATTAAAATATGATAATTTTGGAGATGTCAACACTTTTCCCTTTGGTCATTAAGTTTCTAGTGGCTATAGGGCTATTCTTCTCAAACATCTGTACTGAGATACTTTTCTTAGATATTTTGATTTTGTTTACTTATTATACGAAAATAATGACAAGACCATTCCCTTTCAGCTCAAAGCCAAACATTCACATCAAATCAACTCAAATCAAGGTTAAACGACTCAAATTAAACAAATCATTCAATAGAAACATAAACCGTAAATCAATTTTTGCATTTGAAGAAGAAAATAAAAGTCTTCATCCAAATCCAAGTCTCAACCAAATGAAAAGAATCATACAAACACTGACCTGGACCGTGTGGAACTGGAGGAGCCCCTTTCAACGCTATCCTCCTCATCCTCACTATCATTGGGATTTCCTACATCACCTCTCTCTTCATCCCTATCATTCGTCCTGGAGTTCCTCCTCCTGTACTCCAACCACACCAGCACCACATGCACCAAACACTGCAAAGCATACCCACAGATCCAGAGTCGAATTGGAGTATTAGGCTTCTCATTTACCGTACAGATCAGCATGGCCACCGACACGGCCACGAAGCCGGTGTTCCAGAGCATGTCTAGAGCCACGACGGGCTTGGAGTAGCCCCAGTCGACGCGGCGATCCTCAAGCTCACGCGCTGCCGTCTCCCGCACCAGCATGGAGGCACCACGCCTTCCAGTGGCACGGCTCAGCAAGAAAGCGAGCGTGGACGCCGGGGCCGCAGAGGACTCCGGCTGACGCGGGCGGAGGAGCGGAGCTTGGGAGTCGGTGGTCGCCGCCGCAGCAGCAGAGGTCCGTGATGAAGACATTTCCTAGTTTTTCTAAAGGAGGAATGAGAGCATAACTCGAAGAAATTAGTTCCAAAGAAAGAAAGGAAAATGCAAGTGGATTAGATGGTACTATCAACAACATTTAGGGCTTTGACTGTTAGATGTGCCTGTTTTTTTTTGGCGGTCCGGTTCTTGTCACCAACCCGATTTATAATCACTCTTTTAGCCTAACACATGACCTCTTGAAAAACTACCAGTTCATTTTCCATTTTAAGGACTCATATTTTTCACGTTTTAAAAGTATAGTTTATAGTATAAATTTATTAAAATATTTTAAATAAAATAATATAAAAATAATTTTATTAAAAATATTTTAATAAATTTATAAATTAAACTATATTTTAAAATATAATTTAATTTATAAAACACTTTTCTTCCTTAATACTCACTCCAAAACTTTTCTCCCTCTTCATTTTGAATTGTGACATACTTAATTAAAAAAAATGTTATGAAACAGAATAGAATTATTTAGAGTCTCATATTTTAGATTTAAATTTTAAGGTTAACATTAAAAAATTTATTTTGTTAATATAGTAAGTTTATATAAGAGATACATTTTTACAATTATTTTAAAAAATTAATCTTGAAATACATAAAAATTAATTCAAAAATATTTTAACTATAAATAAAAAAATTCAAAATTTTTAAATTCATATATTAAGAAGAAGGAGAATGAATTTGCAAAAAAATGTAAAACTCATCATTCAATATAAAAAAAAATTATTTAGAAAGACGAGGCAAGATGAAAGGTAGTAGGAAGAGAAAGTTTAGTTACATTTTTATTTTTTATTTTTTAATTTTTGTCTCCCTTAAGATGTGAAAAAATAATTATTTTATTCATTTTAATAAATTAAAGTTAACATTTTAATTTTTTAAACATAATTTTAAATTAAAGTTAAATAATTTATATGAATAATAACTAAAATTTTTTTTCTTTTTATATAAAATTCTTATTAAGTACTTTAATTTGATTAAAATAAATTTTTAATTATCATTTATATAACATATTAAATTTTTATTTAAAATTTTTATTTGAAATATTAAAAAATTAAACCAAATTTATTAAAAATGAATAAAAAATATATTTTTTATTATTTTTAGATAAAAAGAATAGGAGCTAGTTTAAGCTCATGATTATTTCTTACCTTAAATTATTCATTCTATATATATATATAAAGACTTTTTATTTTCTTTTTTTTAAGTGTAAAATAAATAAAAATAAAAATTATTTCTAAATTTTTAATTTCAAAATAAAAATAAAAAATGTCTATTATTATATGAGGAAAGGATATTTTATATATAAAAATACATAGTACAAACTAAATAATAAGAGTTGGGTCTTGGATTTCCAAGACTAAGACCCATATGATGAATGATTTGATAGAATTCTTGATATGTCAACACTTTATGATTCTTTCTTTTGCCATAAGAGTTATACAAACTAATTACTTAGTAGCAAAATCAGGATTTATTCATGAATCAGCTTTATTATGCATTTTGTTCCACCTCTACATGCACGAGATATCGCGAGCAGATAACCATCTATTCAAATGTAACAAACCATACGTTCAATAACCCATGAGTTTGAATGAATTGATTATTTCCCAAATCTGTAATTCATGTACCAAAAAAATACATTCAATAATTTATCACTCATGTTATCTGCATGAAAAACTTGTTTTACAGCCTGAAATTAGTTCGGCCGAAAAAATGAACCCTGCAATTTTTGTTTAGATATTTTTGCAGCAACTAGCATTTAATGAGCACCATTAATTAACATAAAACCTACTCTTTCCTGTAGCAGAAAATTATAAAATTATAGTGTTTTTTATGTAATGTTTTAGTGGTTAAAAATTTAAATTTTTATGTTAAAAACTAAATATGAATTTTGAGATAGTTGAATAAAGGTTTAAAAAAGAGAGAATTATCTTTATTATATAATTTATTATTTAATATAAAAAATTAATATTTCCTATAAATCACTACAAAAAAAAAAAAGAAAAAGGAAAAGGAAAAAAAATGAGAGAAAAAGAAAGTTACACGACGGTTGAAGTTTGCATTCTTTTAGGCCAAAAAAAAAAAAACAATACTTTGCATTGTTCAGTGAAAGTTAAAGTACACAAAGTAATTAATGAACTTAATAATTAGGCGTTTCAACGAAAAAAAAATTATATAGTTTAAATTATTTAATAAATATAAATAAATATAAATTATTAAAAGTAAAAAAATAAATTATTAAAATTTTATATAAATATAATGAATAAAACTTATATGTAAATAGATTTTTATTTATATTAAATTATTTTGAAAATTTATACAAAATTATTATTATTTTAATATTTAACAGTCAAGATTTTCCAAACCCCGTGCTAGTTTATTCAACCTTGAAAACCATAATTCAATTTATTTAAGGAAAATAAAAGATTAGGGAAGAGAAAATCAAACCCAGCGATGTAGTGGTGCAGCACGGTTCACGTGCCTAGCCCTACATCCACCTTCAGGCCTTCCTTACTACGTAGTGGTTCAGCATGGTACTCGTGCCTAGTCTACATCCACTCTTCAAGCCTTTCTTACTAAAGAGTTCAATATACTAGTTCCTTCTTCTTCGATGTGGATGAGTTCGCAGATTTTGACGATCAAGATTGAGATTAATGTTAGTTAGGTCAATTGAGAAAATCAAGGGTAGATTCTAGGCGGTGCCAACAAGCATGATCCTGATGTTTTCTAACTACCGAAATTCTACTTCTAGCATAACTACCGCAATTCTACTTCTAGCAACTAACTGATCGAGTACTAGGGTAGCTTTGGAGTTGGTTGAGTTCTTGTTCAATCGTGGAAGGTGGAGGAAATCAAAGTCATTTTTGGCAAACAAGTTCACTTGGGGAGGTATATAAATATAAGTTTTCAACATGTTTTTTAGTTCCCAAGTTTGCCCTCTTGAAAAATTAATTTTCTTTTAAAACCTAACATTTAAATAATTCATGTCATGTCTTAATTTAGCTTTGTCTACTCAATGATCTTCTAATTTAAAAATAATTTCATCAAACTTTCTTTGTATTCTTATTTCAATAGGAATAAAACAGCTATCGGCAAAATCTTCAACATTATTAATTTAGGGCATGTTTGGATTAGGTTTTTATAGTTTTAGTTTTTAAATATTATTTATGTTTTATAAGTTTAAATTTCTTTTTTAAAAATTTACATTTTTAAATTTTTTTTAACTTTAAAAAAATTTCAAACAATAAAAATTCAAAAGTTTTAAATTCAAAAGTTTTAAATTCAAACTTTTCATAAATTATCTTTTTATTCACTTTTTCTATTTTTAGAAATAATTTTTAAATTTTTCCTCCAATAAAAGTTTCAACTTATCACTCATGAATAGTACAAAAAAAGTAAAAGCTCTTACAAGTTAACCCAAATATACTCAATTTTGATAAGATTAGTCTCTACAACATTTGTTTTATTTTGTTATTTACTTTTACTTGATTTTTTAGTTGTTAAACATTCAATTTCAATTTAAGAATATCTACAATTTCAGTTAATTTTAAAACCTTTTACATTTTTGTTGCAATTTATAAATTGGTTAGATTATAGTTAATTGCCCTTTCTAAATTTCTGTCCACATTTTCTTTTTGCAATTTAGATTTTTATCTAGCTATAGCTACTATACTTTTACTCATTAATTTCTAATACTTGTCTTTCAGTTTATTTGTTCTCTTATATTTTTAGTTTAATTTTTCTTAATAAATGTTTACAATAACTGAAGTTATTGACATATTTTCAAGGTAAATTTAAGTTCATTGTATTAAAATTTATCTCTCATTTTTGCTAATTGTCTAATTAGGGTACAATTCATTTCTTAAAACAACATTCTTCCGACAATCTTTTCAAAAGGGAAAATTGAATGGAAGAAGGTAGTCAACGAACCTTTTTCTTACTTTTTTTTTTTTTTCTTTTTGTTTTTTTGGCAAAAGAACGTGACATATCTTCATTTCAATTTTTACTGTAAAGTGAAACTAACAAAATTTTAGAAGTAACAATCCTATTGGTATGTGCAAACACTCCTGTCACAAGCAGCCGAGAGAAGAGGATTTTGAAAGAAACACCTTGTATGAAAAAAAATTCCCCCAAAATAAAGTCCAAGGGAAAATTTAAGCTCACAATTGACTCAAATTACTCAATAAAAATAAAGAGCAAGCTTGCTGAATCCAAGTTGAAGATGGAAAATGCCCCAATTGCTTCAAGAATGCTTACGCTCAAAGGGTTACTCTTCAATCTTTCAATTCTCGTGTCTGTCTTATAGGACAATCCACTTCTTTAATGCCATCCAACTCATCAAATTCAATTTTGAACGTTGGAAGTCTTCAGCCTTTACAAAAGCAGCTCAGCGCACCAAATTTTACTATTTTTAAGAATGTTGCTGTGTGGATGTTAGAATGGAATAAACTTTTCCATTATGGGTTTACTACTACAGTCGGCATTCGACACTAACGGAGACCCAATTTCATTTCTTTTTTTCCTTCAGTTTCATTATTCAAATGGAAACCAATAAAAAGTGTACCAAAAACTGGATCGACAATTAAAATTATGTGAAATTTTGGAGATCTAACCTTTCTATCTTGATACGTTCGTTTATATGCGAAGAACAACATGACCTAAAGCATTCCACACAACAACATACATTAAACTAGAAGCAATCAAAATCGATCAAAAGTAAAGGAACTTATCAGGGACTCTTCAAGTTCACGAAAGCCTCTGTAAACAGCCTCAGTCTTACTCTGTGGAAGGGCCAACCTCCGCACCTCCGTCATATACCTGCAAATCCAAACTCAAAACATCAGTCTTGTATCATTGCAAGAAGTAGGTTAAAAGTAGCTAGCCTTGATAAAGGGCATTAAAACAGTAACGGACTTAGCCTAAGGGCATTGCATATCATCAGAGCAATGTAGATACAAGGATTTTACCTGTTCACTGCACTAGTGATCTTATCTTGAATCCCTTGGTTGATAACTCCTGTCTGCTCCAGAGAAAATGCTCCACCCAGTATTAAAGATGTTCCAGTAGCACTTGTACCCATTCTCTGCGCAAACACAGACATTGCCCACTCACGAAGTATCACTAGCACTGATCGAAGAAGGCATAACCTGAGGTTTGGAGAAGGCAAAGTAGCACCATTTGATAGTAACTGATCATAAGCATTCAACACAGGTTCAGCTGCACCCTTACAAGCAGCAAGAAGAGCCCTTACTATATCTTCATCACCAATGGATTCAACCCCAGAATCCAACCTCTCCTGAAAAATAAGAAAGTGAGGAAATGGAAGAATCAATAAAAAGGAAACAACCCAACTACCATTCCAGAAAGCTAACTTCTGTTAGATCATACATGTACAAATGATTATCATATAGATGAAGCAAACACAGACATGAAACATGTTGGCCCCCAAGGAAAAAAAAAAAAAAAAAAGCAAACACAAGACATGGATATACCTGGGCAGCCTTCTCTAAGTGTAGGCAAAGTGTGTCCAGAGGTAAAACAGCGCCGTCTCCAGGATATATGTGGGACCCAACCCTCTTCAGCACAGAACAGGCTTCAGCAATACCACCTCCAGAAAGGGCTTGATCGATAAGCCTAGCCCAGGTTTCCCCGATAATGCTGCTGTCAGCATCACCAGAATAGTTTGCAAAGTAAAGCATTTGAAGACATATCTGAAAGAAGAAATGGAATAACAAAGAATCTCATTATAAAAATTAGCAGGTGAAGATGCCTCCATTTGCTTAAAAAAGGAAAAGAAAACATGCTTAAACCTTCTTATATAGAACAGCCAATAAAGAGAACATAAATCTAGCAGTAGAAAATTTAGGAGAAAAAGAGAAGAATAGGAAATAACTATAAATAAGGAGAAGAGGAATCCAAGATAGCAGCAAGAACAGAAACAAGGGAAATTCTCAATACTGTATTCAAGTACCAAAACTAATGTGAGTCTATGAAAGTCATAAATCGAAGGACAAGTAAATAACATTATGAATCCCAATTGAAATCTAACAAAACAACTAAGCATGACATTCACTATTGTAACAAGCACACATAAAATCTTTAGGGGATGGCCCTCCAACCCATTAGGGCTGCAAATGAATGGAGCCAGGACAAACAGTTTAGGCTCAAGTTCAATTATGCTTGGATAGGTTTTGTTCAGAATTGAACTCTAGCTAAAGCTTGGATCTTTGGGTCAGGGCCATTTACTTTTTGAGCAAGAACTCAAGCTTTAATAAGTTCAGCTAAAAAACTTGTGAACCGGCTCATTTAGATTATCAGCTTTAATGCCAAAATGATTAATCAAGCCAAACTCAAGCTTGAGCTTCAACACAAGCCTACATAAATTTACTCTAGCTAAAATCAAACTTGCAATAGTTCATATTTGCTTGGCTTGCTTCTAGACCATGAGCTCCCCTTGATCATGGAAGCCTTACTTAAAAAAGCTTGTTCCCCATTTTTCTCATCTACACATTTTTGGAATTTGATAAAATATTTCTTTACAAGGGAATGTCTAAGCAAAGCTAGAGTCAATTTTGATTTGATCATCAAATGCTTTTCCTGGTTTTTACTTGTTAAATTTTTATTGAAGGTACCATGGATATAAAAGAATTTCACAGTACATGTGAATGCAACAATTCATCAACTTAAAAAATTTGGAATACCCAAGATGAATTAAAAGTTGGGAAAAAGATGCACAATATTAGAAGAACTATACAATTGTTGACTAAAAAAAACTTATAAAGCAAGAGGTTTACCTCCCAAAGCTCAAAAGGAACGGCATATTCATTATATAATTGAGTTATACTCTTCAACTCTAAAGATAACTCTTTAGCCTTCTCTCGTAAAGCATGTGAAAAATTTGCATCTGTGTTAGAACTACTGTCAGGTATCAATCCATTTTGAACAGATTCAGGCATGCCATTTCTAGCTTCTATCCTAGAAGCAATTGCCTCCAGTTCCTCTTTTATTTTTATTTGAAACTGGAGAACAGCAAGTTTCCCTTCAAGTAAATCTAGCAGTCCGCTATCAAAAGCACCACGACCAGAACTTATCATCCCATCATGGTTACTTGCATTCTTGGCCTGGAGAACAGCATTACTTAGGTACTGGCGCCTGATGATGTCGACAAAATGAAAATGGTAATTATAAAAACAAACTTAGAACTGGCCAAAAGGAGAAGAAGAAGAAGAAGAACAACTACTACTACAACAATAATAATATAGAAAAACCAGCTTAGAGGGAAGCAAAAAGCAATTAACTACAAAACCAAGAACAAACCAAAACCAATCTCGACTATTGAGTTGAATTCCATTTCTTTTTTAATTAATTTTTTTTTTTATTGACACATAAGATCTATACAGGAATAGTGAATAAAGAGATCTATATAGTTGATTTAAATTTTTGAAAAAGGATCTCTAAAGAAATGAGTAAATCAGAAAACCTGAGCTCCATTCTCTAGGCTATAAAAAACTGGTAAAATCTAAACCACAAAGGCACAAAGTGGAAAAAGCCTAGACAGTCTGTTTGCTTGTAGAAATAAGTCAATTTTGGTAAATGAGAAAAAACAAAAAAAAAAAAATAAGAGTAGGGGGTCAATTTGGTTGATGACAAACTTCACTTAGCACAAAGCAAGTTTGCCTAGAGAGGCACAAATTTTATTACGATTATAATTTCTTAGAAATGAAAAGTAGCAGCCAACCTCTGTTCAAGCATAGGAGTACTGCCCCCATCAGTTGAGCGCCTCTCAGCCAGCCTCAATAGCACATGAGCTGCAAGTAGATGCTGCCTCTTCAAGACATAATACCTTGCCAAAAGATCAAAGTATTTTGCTTGATTAGAATGGATAGATGATCCTGATTGGCCCATTTGAGGGGAAGCTGATATTACTGAAGAAAGTGCTCGCACCTACAAGACAATAGAAGTCTAAGAAGAAAGATATATAATATATATACATATATAATAATGCAGATTTTTGTAGAAATAAATTCTCTAAGTTCCACAGAAATGAACTTGAAAAAACATTGGCAATGAGTTACTACATATAACTAACTGAACAAGTAAAATAACCCAAACTTTATAGCGTGTTTGGATTGAGGGAAGTGAGGGGAAACAAAAGCAAAGGGAGGGATTTTTCATTTTCCTCAAATTAAATGAAGGTTCGGTGCCCTTTCCTTCATTTAAATGAAGGAAAATCTCCTCCTTCGCTTTCCCTCAACCCAAACTAGTTGTTAGTGCTTAAAATAAAACCCAAAAAAAAGGAAACAAAAAAAAAGGGCAAAAAACCTCTTGTACAGGTTCACGACCAGCAGTTTGTAGAAAAGGCACCAAATCAGGACCTCCATACTCCAAAAGCTCATCTTCAAGGCCCAAATCAATCAATGTTTTATAAAGGTATTCGTGAAATAATCTGTCAGGTGATTGAACACCAAGCTGAACAATCTGACATACGTATTTTTTCCTTGAGACAGGGTCAAGGGCAGATCGAGCAGCAGCAGGCCTAGCAGGCAAGCCAAATTCCTTCTGTGAAGACTCACCTTTTAGAGAACGCAAAGCACTAGCAACAATCTCATAGCACTGTTCACGCTGAGTGACTGCTTGTTCACGAATGGCAGGATCAGTTTGTTCATTTAAAGCATCCCCAGCACAGTCAATTGCCTGTGCCTTTTGCAAAGGTAAGCGTACTACACCTTCATAAAATCTGCAGTGTAGTATGAAGTTGAATTTAACTATGTAATGTAACTAAAGAATTTATCAAAGAAAGACTTTTTCGGTAATTGATTCTAACTTGAATAATAAACACACCTTAGGTCCTCAAACCGTTTGCAAACAGTTTTTAAGTCAGCAGATTCTGGAACTTTGCTCAAGAAATTGAAGGCTTCCCTAGCAAGATTTTCCCTCTCCTCAGGGTCTAAAATTACAGCAGCTCTTTCAAGGCATTCCACAGCTAAGAAAAACTTATAATCAGACTCCTTGAAATAACTTGGACATCCCTCACGCAATCTTCCACTGATATCATCAACTGTGCCTCTACCATCAGGGCCAGTATAATACTGGACAAAATAAAAAAAATCACAAATCAGAAAAAAAGAAAAAAGAAGAAAAAAAAAAGGACTTAAAACAGAGTAAAGCAATGTGATGTAGCAAAAAATATAGATATATTCTTAGCAAGGAGAATAGGAAATATTTTTTCAAGCAATAAGCATATTTAAGTGAATATTCCCAAACAGTAGTTTATGTAAAATTGCATCACCTCCATAAGAGCAGCAATTAGTCTTGTAGCAAGTTGGTCACCCTCCTCTGAACAAACAAGTTGATGGAATGTCAATTTAATCAGTGCCTGGCTTAAATTAGCATCAAACCCTTGAAGCAAGCGTGTTATATTATGCTGACAAAGAAGCTGAAGCAAAAACAAAGCTTCAGCAGATCTAAGAAGCAATTGTCTGATGCATTCCATTGCCCTCACCTGTGGGAGAACCAATGAGTAAGAAACAAAACAGGAACAATTATAACCATACAGATGGATCAAGATCACCCCACCTCCATGGCAGCCAACTCTGTAGGACTATATGGCAATCGCTGCCTTTTATTTGAAGTCCCATCACCATTTGAGTCACTGTTCCGTGTGTATGCACCAAATAAGTTCCTCATCATACTCCTATCACTAGCACCTAATTCTGAACCAGTTCCATACAGAATGGAGCCAGTTAAGTCTCCTAAACCAGCTACAGAGCCATACAGCCCCCTTCTTTGGTTCCTCCTAGACCTTAAGAACGTTTCCAAAGCACGAATCTTGTTCTCAAGGACTTGCATGGCCCCAGCAGAAAATCTGCAAGCTATAACCATATTTTCTGCTGCAGAATCATAAGTGCCTCCTCTGATAAACATGACAGGGACCTCCCAAAGAGGCAAAAGCAATCTTGATGAGCAAAGGCAGAGCCCTTCATGAGCACCTGAGAACACAGGCTCAGACTCCTGGACAACTTGCCCCATGCTGAAACCCCCTGCTGCTGTTCTAGTGTTTGACAATCCACTGCTACCTTCAAGTTGGGGCATTCCAACAATTCTTGGATCCTCAAAAGCCTCAGCTGCCTTCTCGGCAACAAGATTGGTTATAAGATGTTCAGTGTGAACTATCCTTGCAGCTAGCATCAGACACATTGCAGCTGCCTCACCAGCTCCAAAACGATTAAAGAAATCTTCCAATATTGATCTTGGAGAGTTGGACTCAAGCAATCTTCTCAGAATATCAACAGGCCTGTTAAATACCACTTCCATCATGCCCATGGTACTGAAAATAACAATTCTCCTCCTTGGCAATATATGTTGCGTTGAAAGGTCACCTCTAGCCCACAGCTTTCCTGAGACCATTTCACAAGACTTCACTGAGCTTTCAAATCCACAGAATTCAATCTCAGAATATAGTGATTGCACAATAGCAGCTGTATCTGGTAAGGGATAAACATTTGCCACAAAAAGCATTCGGCCTCCAACAGGCAAGGAAGAGACACATTCTCTTAATGCCCTAGAACTCCTAGCTGATGTCCCTAAACTACCTGAGAGAGATGATTGCGAGCTTGAATCCTTGCTCACAATGAGAAGAGAAGACATGGTTGGAGGAGATGAATCAGAAAGGACAAGAGTTCCAGCAGAACAGTAGGCTGTTTCAACCTTCAAAGACAAATCCTCAGTCTGAGTTCTACCAGCTAGTGATATGGCTCCAAATGAAAGTCCACCACTGACCCCCAAAGGTGGGGAAGGCCGAGTTGTTACAACTTTTAAACAGCTTGGCCTCTGATGATGATTGTTGAATCCGCTTAAACCTCCAATGGCACCACTATTTCCACTAGATGAAGAGGTAGAAAAGTACATCCTCCTGCCATCTGATAGAACAGCAACAAGGTGGAGCCACTTTGATTCCAGCATTGATAAAGGAGAAATGCAAACAATAGATGGCTTTGCTGATCTTGGAGCTCTTGATGCTGTTGCTTGTCTACTTCCATAATGTGGATCTTTCAGATTCAACATATTCCTTTCTTCTGCTACTTTCTTCAAGGGACCATCTCCACTTAGACCCAGGACATAAACCTGGATTTTCATCTCTTCAGTTCTTGCATACAAAATTTGTCTTTCATTATCTACAACCATTTCAACAATGGGATCTACAGCTCCAAACTTAAACATATTTGGTATTATCCATCTGAAACCAAAGGGGAAATTCAGCTTAATATAGGAAAGATGCAAAGATCTTCATTTACTAGCAAAACTGGAACATTACCAAACCAGAAACACAATCAATACATGCAGGTCTATAGAATTTATCTCACATCAGTTGAAGATATTAAGATGCGGGTATCAGGATTGTAATAGACTTCCATATTTGGTTTGGAAGTAAGAAATGTGACAGCAATCAAGAACTTCTAAAAAGATTCTCAAAACAACCAGAATTGCTTGTTACCAATAGTATAAAAGCAACAAATGAAAACACACCTTGAGATCAGACTACCTACACCTGCAGTCAGGCACACTTTACGACAGCACTTATGCCAGCCCGAGCCAGTTGTGTAAAGCAACTCATAGATGTGGCCATCACGGCCAGCCATGAAGATACGACCCTTATCCGTACATGCAATACAAGTCATTGTAACTCCATCAGAGGGTATTGAATATTCAGGCAAGGGCTGCAAGGAAATTTCTGAATAAGGATCAGTACCATCAGCCCCTCCAGAGCAGCATACTCCCACAAGAATCAACTGCAAGCAAAGAAAAAGACAATAAGACAAATATAACACCATCAACCAATTAAAAAACCATAAGTTACATTGAAAATATGACTTATTGATCATTTGAAATATCAAGAATGATGTTGAAGTTAGAATGAGCAGTGACAAAAATGAAGGAGAAAAAACTCAAATTGCAGAAGAATTAATTAAAATTTTAAAATCTTCAAAAATTGAAAACTAATAGAACATTAAAACTTAAAAAATCATTGCATGAACAATCTTAATGGCATGGATTATGGAATCTTAGCCATTTCACTTTTTACTTCTATGGCTGTCACTGATTGCTCTTTTGAATTTTAATGGCTTGACAAAAAAAAGATTCAACTTGTTACAAGCATCTTCAAATTAAAAAATGCTAAATCAAAGAAACTCTTCAAGACTAAATTCAAAATATAACACTTTCCAAAGACCATAAAAAATAAAAAATAAAAAATAAAAAACCAAGATGCTACCTCAACAGGAGTTGCTAATATCAAAAGATATTGTATAGCTTCAATGAAGACGCCAGCTTTACATTTGGCAAGGCCAACAGCACAAATAGCTTGTTCCTCCCCATTGTATTCAGGACATTGACCATCCCTGACAGAAGGGAGAGTGTTAGGAAAATAAGGATTTTTTTTATTAAAACAAAAAAAAGAAAATAGTATAGAGAGGAGAAAAGAAGCCAATGGCAGAATCTCTAGAAAACTAGTAGGTAAAGGGCAAACTAAAAGGTTAAATAGATACCATTTTGAAGCATTTAATAGTCCTCATCAGTAAACATTTTCTAAAGAAACAAGACGCCTGATGTTCATCCAACCAGGGACAAAATTGTACTTAAGCATGTCTTGTTTGGGTTCATGAGGTAAATCATAAGCCTCATAGGTCATACAATTGCAAGGAGCCATAAGGACAATATTGCTTCTTCATAATCTATTATCTCAGCAGCAATTGCAACTAATTAAGAATAAACTTTAACTAAAGATCCTACCCTACAGTGCCACTTTCTAGAATCCTTGTACGTAATATGGATATGAATCTTCTTGCAAAGTTTCATTTGCAGTACAACCTTGAAAAGGTCATTCATGGGTTACCTACATCTTTGTTTGAATCTTATGATCCCCACCCCAAATAATGTACTAATTAGCCACTAGGTAGCTCAGAGACATAATTTTTTAGGAAATAGAAAGAAGCACCAAGTGCATATGGAAATTATAATTCTCTTTTTCTCCCCTACCTTTTGTCTCTGAATAGCAGAGGGGCAATGTTAGAGCATGTGAAAAGTCTCTTGACATGCAGAATGCTTTTAAAAAATTAGTCTAACTTTTACATCTTCCTACAACACATAGAAATCTAACAAGTCAATGGAATTGAACTCACCTCTCATATTTTGTATAATCCATCAGATTTAAAGTTTTTGACCTTTTTTTTTTTTTTTTTTTTTTTTTTACTTTTTTTGCTTGTTTTTTATGTTGGTTTGAATTGAACAAAATTTAAAATTAGAGATAAGTTTGAAATTGAACTGGATTTTTAGTGTTATAGATTGTCCTATGTTAAAGTGTGTTTGTATCCACTGCTTGAAGGAAAGGAAAGGAGAAAGGTCAGGGAGAGATGATTGGAAGAGGAGAGGAGATAATGGACTCTAGGTTTTTTTTTTTTTTTGTATGTTTGTACATGACTGAGGACCTGAGAGGAAAGGATTTTTAGTGTATGGTAGAGGATTGGGATGGGCATGAAAGAATTTAAAAGAAAACCTCATTTTCACCTATAATTAGAAGATAGGAACATTGAGGAAAAAAGAGAAAGATTGAGACTGAGATATCCCAAGAATAAAGGCTTTCTTTATACTTGATATTTGTAAAAGATAAGGGATACACGATCATTAACAATGAATGAATTTTAGGAACTTTGGCTTGGATAGATAAAGGTTATCCTTTCATTTTTCGTCCTGCATTCATAAAGAAAATATATCAGTCAAAAGAGGTAGAGGTCTTCCCTTTCCTTCTCTCCATTCCCACCAAGGCACTCCCACCAACTTAAATTGATGCAGGGAAGAAAGTGGTAGAAGAATAAACAGTAATGAGAACATCATAAAATTAAAGATGGAACCAAGAAAACTTAGGGTTTCAACCTCAAGTTTATTTTGAAAATAAAATCTGATAACAAAACTGCCCTACAGATCTAGAATACCTACATATATTAACAGTAGATAAAGTTCCTAATTCAATTCCAACTCTAACTTCTAATAACCTACGAATTGTAATCCTAATCTAAAAACTTTGTTTGAGAATCTGAGCTAAAAAGCTTAAATTGATAGGTAAGTGCACATTACATATACTTTTTAAATCTTCACATACATCCTTGCTAGGCCAGCAATGGGCTTTACAAGCAGTCCAAGACAGGCCTGTTAATATCTATCTAAGCTGCCAATGATTTTTCAAACTTTGATTGTAGAATAATACATATATACTTTACTGATGGTTTATTCAACTATACATTTTTTAGTATGTGCCTATGTGGTGGAGGAAATTAAATATAACAAAGAATTATGTTTTGCATATTTAGATTCCATCTAATTACCCAGTTATGCAAAGCATACAATGAAAAGATATTTTAAAATAAGCTTGTTACTTCTCTGATATCGCCAACTAGATTTACACCTTTGGGTTGAAGGCTTAGTTGTTCAAGTTATATGATTAATAATTTATGGTCACTAGCAGTGATTTCTGCTCCTGTTGTCGCTCAAGTACATTAACAATCAATTGTCTAATCTGACTTTTTGAGTGAAGTAGCATTTTCTTTTACAATCATTAAGTTATGATGAATGATACGAGGGGATAAGATGCTTACATGTTTATGAATCAGCTTTTAAAGTTTGGCTTTTCTAAGATAGAAAATTCTTCATAGTGTGAAATAGAGAATATGTTTGAAAAGGCACAAATATTTATGGGACATCGAATTCTCTTTATTTGGTAAGTAATTTATCATCATAAAATAAGGGTGTAAATGGTGTCTATGACTAGTGGAGTGTAATGACGGTGGTGTTGCCGAAATCAGGTTCACAATTGGTTATTAAGTGCTTGTCTCTTGCTCCCTTGTTTTATAATCTGACATTTAGGTGGTTATACAATTAGGCTATGTATTATAAATATTGGATTGTCTTCAAACCTTTAAATAAAGTTTACTTCTGATTAATATGTGGTTTATATTCCAATGCAGTGGCCTCCTTTAGTTGAGGTGGAAGATTCTTGGGAATTGCCTCCTGTGCTTATTGAAAGATACAATGCAGCTGGTGGAGAGGGAACTGCTCTATGCGGAATATTTCCAGAGATACGCAGGGCTTGGGCATCTGTGGATAATACTTTGTTTCTTTGGCGTTTTGATAAGTGGTGAGGTCTTTAATCTTAGGATGTCATATGACTTATATCATCTATTGGGTTCATGACTGTAAACACCCAACCTACCTAAAACCAACATTGCAGAAGGGGTAGAGTGCCATGAGGTGCCAGGCTACTGTGCTTTATGGTCCCCTTTTTTTTTAAAAAAAAAAAAAAGGAAAAAATTTCAGAGAAAAAGGGAAAATGAAAAAATAAAAAAAAAAAAAAAAAAAAACTTATCATCCTCATAAA